GTATGTTTCTTTTGGGCCTAATGTTTTTGATTGTATTTGTGATTGTTCAGCTGCCTTTATTGCTTTTTCTAATGTTAGGTCGAGTTGACATAATGAGTTTTCACAGAGGTTTGCATCTGTGACTCTGCAAATGATTGTCTTTTATTAAACTGCCTGTCAGTTCCCCAGATACACATTTTGATGCCTGTCGTTTTAAATGGGTTACAAAGTCATCAAATTTTTGTTGTTTTGACTTAAAAAATTTGTTTTGGATGACAGTGAGAATTTTTTCAGTTTGCAACATTCATCAAATTTACCCAGTATTATTTTTAAGTTGTTTTTTTTTTTCTTGTGTGTTATTAAATTTGAATGTTGAGTAAATGTTGCACCCTTTTTGTTGTGACTTTACCTGGTTTATGATCTGATTCTGTGGCTTAAGGAAGAATATGAATTCATCTTTCCAATTTCGTCATGTGTTGGCTATATTTTTACCCTCAAAATTGAAAGCCTTCAGATGCAGTAAAACTTCCATGTTATTTTTTTTTTAATTTTTATTTGTGAATATTTGGCTTCTTTTAAGTCTTCTGATACCATTTTATATTGATCTTTCTTGGTATATCACTAGGATGGACATTGATTAGGAAGATTGAATAACAGGAGCCTTGAACAACCAACTATGAACCTAGCAAAACTGATTCTTTATTATCTATTGAAGAGCATTAACAGAACAAGGGTAGATAATTAATTAGTATGTTAGCTATGTAACACCCTCCAAAAAGAATTTGTCTGTGTATAGTGCAACTGGTCACTGAAAGTGCAGGATTTTTAACCTCCTCAACAAAAGTTACCTGTCTATAGTGTGACCACCTATTTTTGGCATGAAAAATTGATCATAAAAACTCTCACTATACAATGTTTCCCAATGTGGGCGCTAGTTCCCTATAGTGGGCTCTTTTATGTTGAAAGGGTGTACTAGGAGTTTTTATTTCATTTGTGGGTTGGTGAACATACTCAGGGTGTGCAATGGGCATTTATCCATTTTTTTTCAAAAATTATTCAATATTGGCTACAAAAGATTTCTGAAAGGTATCTAAAGTTGGGGGAAGCTATCAAACTTTTCATTGCTTTTCCAATTTCCTATATGGCTGAATGGTTTCAACACTGTTACAAAGCTTCTTACTAAACAAAGAAACCACCTGCAAATTATAAAAACAAGGATATCTACAATTACTTCTGGGCAGCATGGAACCTAGAGTAAGAGCCTTAGCCAGTAAGCACCAAAGTCAAGCATCGCATTGAAAACATTGAAATAAGCTACCAAATAAGTTGTTGTTTATTTGTTTTGTTTTTTTTTTTTTTCATTTTAATCATTGGCATTTATAACAGAAATAAAAACAATAGGAAAATTATTTTTGCACTAATACCTAGGTGTTATCTTGCTATGAAAGATGAATTCAGTATAATATTCAAAATTTAATTTGACAGTTGTGTCCAAAGGAGATGCTGGCTGAAAAAAAATGTTGGGAAACACTGCTCTGGTATATATGGGTAGCTGAAGCTTTGTCTCAATCTTCTAGTCCAAAAATATTGCTAATTTACTCAAGATCTCTAAGTAGATTGAAGGCAAGAAGCACAGAAGAAAACAATCTGTCCTGTGAGTATCAAATTTTCCAAGCTCTCTTTCCTCATTATGTTCCCTAAAATGATGTTAAGTATAATTGTCTTTTTATTTCCATTTTCTCAAAAAACTTTGTCATTGCTCACATATTTGGTCCATGGTATCCTCAGCATCTCTCTGTAGAACCACATTTCTGTTGCTTCAAGTCTCTTCTTCATCCATGAGGAGATTGTCCAGCATTCACTGCCATATAGGAGGTCTGATATTACATAACAGTCCAGTACTCTTTTCTTTCATTTTAAATCATTTTTTCTATGTCTTAATGCTCTGCTTAGATTTTGGAAGGCATCTTTGGCTATCCCAATGTACCTTCAGATTTCGGTGTTGTGCTTTCTGTCTTCTGTTAAAACACTTCCAATTTAAATATCTGGAAGTGTTTGATTTTGGCATCTCCAATTTCTAATTTACATGTTGGTCTGTTTCTTTTACTGACAACCATACATTGTCTTCTTTCTTTCACAACCTTATGTAGGAATTCTTGTTTCCTTCCTGTGTCTATCGATATCTGTGTCAGGGTGGACCTGAGAACAACAACAATTAAGAGGTGGTTCTACACTCCTCAAAACCTTCTGATCAGAGGCCTTGCTGCCGGATGTAGTTTATCATCATACCCAGGACAATTTGATGTTGATCTGGGGTCAGGCATGATCATGTCTGGTAAGTTCACCAACATCAAATCACCATGAAAAAAGTTAATCTCAAGGAAAGTTCACTATAAAAGGATAAAAATTAAACCATTTTTAATGCATTCTCATTTTACTGATCAACGCATCTAAAATATTTATAAACTGTAAAAGTAAATAATAACTGATACGCTCTTTAATTTAGTAATTAAAACTTGGGTTTCTAATAAGTGATATGTGCTTTTTCTCAAGTTGTCAGGGATACAATTATCTTCGTTGTAATTTAGAACGAGTCTTTGGATTTGACAAACAGAAGTAACTTAAGCTTTCCGTCCTTTTTTAAGCGCTAGATTATTGTCACGTGTGCAACAAAATAAAGAAAAGTAAATGGAACAAAAGACCAACTAATTTTTTTTTTTTTTTTTTTGTAAACAAAAGATTTTATTTTAATTTTAGTGATTTGGTCAGTAGACTAAAAAGGAAAAAAAAACGTAATGGCTTATCAGCAAAACGTTAAAAATACTTCAAATTGACGCTATTTACATTGCTCGGACTATCATCCTCATCTTTGTTGACATTTCGGCCGTTGTACGCTCCGGCCTTCTTCAGGTGGTTGGAATGTCGAACTGAACCTTTTATTTCGCTCGCTGGACACATGGCACAGTGGATAAAGGCGTTAGTTAGATACAGTGAAAGGACCCAAAGAATGAGTTCATTACCTGGTTAAGGCGGTGGTGAACTTGGAGAGGGGAATTAACAGGAGATAACTGACATCCACTAGACACCTGGAACTAGAACAGTCGATCCAAGCGAGCGAAATAAAAGGTTCAGTTCAACATTCCAACCACCTGAAGAAGGCCGGAGCGTACAACGGCCGAAACTTTGTGATAAATATATCAACAAAGATGAGGATGATAGCCCGAACAATGTAAATAGTGTACATATCTCATCTCAGAAATATAGACAGATACTTCAAATTGACTTCAGTCAAGAGTTCCTGGTTTCTTTTAGCATACTACAGTTACATGTCCAGTCAGTGAATGGTAGTAAAAGAACTATTCTGAAGCAGATTTTTACAACTGATTTCGCCAGCCAACTCGCTTAATTTTGGCATCAACCAACGAATACCCAGATAAAGACCTCCACTTTGTCAGGTCATCAAAGAGTTCCTTGAAGTCTTTGATCTAAATGACCCAGAATTTATTCGTAAAAATAGATTCTCTTAATAATTATAAAATCTAATAAATTTATACAATGAAGTTTACGTGCCATAAACTTTTCTCACGGTGAGCGTTCCTCCAGGTGAACTTTCCGCGTGGTGAGTTTACCTGTAAACAAACATGGATATCAAGGCCAAAAAAACATTATTATTAACCCAGGTTGCTCCATAACATCATCCATCCAAATACAGCCTCTGTCCCATCTTGAGGCCACTTTTCTGTTGGTAGTAATAATATTTTAATCAGGTCGACTGATTTGTTTGTTTAATGGCATACCAACTTCTTATGGGTCATTTAATGCCGAAATTTAATTTTCATGGGAGCATTAGTAATTTCTTTTACAAAAATATGTTGCTGGCAATTTTTCTATACGAAAATGTATTGCTAGTAATTTTTTTTTTACTTTGAAAATGTATTGCTGACACCATTATAAAAAGGTATTTCAACACTTTCATTGTGTTTTGACCCCAGAGGTTCACTATTTGCCCATAGCTGGGATCCTAACAGGTGCTAATACCTCGGTTCAGGGTAGACCTGGGAACAACAGCAATTAAGAGGTAGTTCCACTCTCCTCAAAACCTTGTTGCCAGAAGTAGTTTAACATCATACCCAGGACATCAGGTCTACTGAGATTGAGTTTCTAATAAAAGCTTGACGTCTAACTTCCATAGGAAATATATTGGTTATCCAACAATGTCTTAACCTTTTCTCTCACAGATCTTCGTACTTTGCCAATTGATGATATTTTCCTACCGTCAATGGCATAAGCCTGTTTTTAAATAACTGACTAATTCATGAGTGTGTAAACTGCTCTCTCGAGTAGTTTGTAACACATTGATACTTATCGGGCACATGGATTAGTCCCTGCGCTGGTAGTATCACGGCTATAACTAGCTTAGACCAGCTTGGATAAGCTAAGACCAACGGCCCGAGTGAAGACACTCGGATCCCCACGTTAAAAACCGAGCTTGTGTCACAACCTGACTCAGGTCAAGTAAATACAAACTAATTCAAAAGATTAAAAAAAACAATAGTTGTTACCTTTTCAATTAATTCAAAATATTGCCAGTCATCCGAGCCAAATACTGTTGAGAATGTTACTGGATTATGGATTAATCCAAGAGGATATTTTCAAGGTTTGCCTTCTGTTGTAGAGTAGTTTCACAGTGGAGGCTTGTATTTCACTAAGTCGGTCCTAAAATAGGTTCGACGTACAAAACGTTAGGAACTTGATATAATAGGTAATGACGTAGAGAAATCTAGTGGTGGTCGCTGATACTTTTAGTATTCGACTAACGGTCGTTCGACATCGACTGACTGACCAACTCACTGAGCGACTTTAGCGACAGACTCGTTACTATTACTACTTATTATAGGTGGGAGAGTCTATTAACTATAGAACAGGTGTGGTCCACTATAACACCTTCTTTATGGCTTCAAAATTCTCAGCAGAGATTAAATAAATGTCCTGACGCTCTGTCAAATCTATCTTTTGAAGCTTACAGCCACATCAGGTTGAAACACCGGTTCCTGTAGGATCACCGAAGTTAAGCAACGTTTAGCCTGGTCGCTACCTAGATGGATGACCACTTGAGAATACTAAGTGCTGTAAGCTTGGATGTGTGGGTGCTTTAGTAGATAACGGCTTGGAATTGTTAATCAGAGAGCCATGTTCCTATTCTAGTCGAGTTCGTTATATTCACTTACGCACAAATACCCTTGGGAAACTTATGAAACCATTTCTTCTCCCCTAACTATGGGTTAAATAGTAAGACTTGTATCACTAATTCATTGTTATCCCCAGAAAAAAATCTTACAGTCTGAAAATATTTTCTCGCTTTAAATAACCTGAAAAGGTCCGATAAACCTTTAAAAAAAAAAAAACGAATCAATCAAAATCTATCTTTTCGACAAAAAGAATCAAACTTCAGTATCTGTCTATATTTCTGAGATGAGATATTATGTACATTATTCAGACTATCTCGCCATATTTATTACAACGTTTCAAGCATAGAAATGAATACAATATGGGAATCAGTAATAAGCAGTGCCAGAGAAAAGCAATAACAACAAAAAGTTGCAATATGAGCTCTGGTAAAAAAAACATGCAATGATAACAGCAAAAAAATTGCAATATGAGCAATGGTTGCTGAGACATTAGGTTTATAATACCCAGAAATTCATACACAGATGTCTTCAAGGACACATGGCACAATAGATAAAGGCGTTGGTTAGATCCAGTGTGAGTTCAATACCCAGTTAAGGCAGTGGAGAAAAGATAACTGACATCCATCATGGCACGTAAATAAAGGGTTCAGTTTGGAATTCCAACCACCTGAATGTCGAACTGGTTGGAAGGCCGAAACGTTGTAATAAATATGGCGACAAAGATGAGGACAATAGTCCGAATAATGTAAATAAGAATCAAACTTTTATAATCTGTGTTGCGGCCCCGACCGCGACTCGGACTAACCGTGTCATCAAACTCCACCATAAAGGAAAATATGATTGGGAACAGCTTACGTGATGGACACAACTCGCATAAAAATATCTGGGAAAAATCAGAAGATCACGTGCGCAATCATGAGTACGATTAGTTTCTATCATGAGCGAAACCTCAGGTTCTAAAAAAAAAAAACAAAATGAAAATATTTTTAAAGTTGTTTTATGATGTCAACGAATACTCGTTGTCAATTTCGTAGAAACTTTGTAATCGCAGATACAACTATCATAACGGTGTTGAACAATACTGGTGTCAGATGCCTTCGAATAACACTCGTACTAAGAGTACTTATAATACTCGCTTGAAAAGTACCCGTATAAGTGATCCGAATAGATAAAAAGTATAGTGAATAGACTAGAGAATAGCAGTCCGTATAGCAATAGAGTAGACATGGCGATCAATTAGGCGCCAAGCTAATTCCTACTTATGCGTTTCCTCTATGGTCACGTGGTCTACTTAATTCAATAATGGGATCGCCTGTGTTTGCTCACTGGCGATCTATGTTCAAACTCAAGTGTCGGCAGCGACACTTTATTTCTATATAACAAGTTGATTTTATTACGAGATGTACTTTAGCGTTAACTTGTTATGGTAAAAATATCTCCTCATCAGATTCTGTACAAAGAACCTAGATACAGGGATTCAGGTACAACTGAATACTTTATGCTTTTTATTTTTTTTAAATCGAATTTACCCCATGCAAGCCAGTAAAACCACCAAGGCACAAGGGGTTACTGGGTATGAAAAAATATGGGAAAACAAACATTATGAAGGAGCGAGAACAATAAAAGATAACGATTAACATTGAATTTAAATATTTGCAAATCAAAGTTAGCTGGAAAACATGGAGGCGGAAGAGAGTTCCATAAGCAAGAAAATAAACTGTTAGCATAGGACTTATGGTTACATTTAGCCATTTCAACTTACCGCCAGTCTAGGTACCACAGAGAAGAGTGATATTTATTCTGTACAATACAGAAATGTGGCACAAGGCCGTAGGGGGGATTGGGGAAAGGACGGTCTTCTTCTGTCTTAACTATAACTTAGCTAGCCGCAAACACTGACCCAATCGTACGAACAATATTCCTTACACAAAAACAACATTCATACGTACCTTCCTTACTACATCCACCATAATACCTCATTGTCTCTATGAAAATACTAACTAGTCCCCATAGAGAAGAGTTCATCCGTACAATTATTATGAAAGTATTTATAGAAAAGGCACAGGAAGCAACTTTAAGGTGTTGGGAAAGTGACTGAAGCCGAGACGCTAGGTCAGGACCAATAATATTGCGGATTCTTTCGATTTTATCAAGAATCTCTAAGTGTATAGCAGGAGCACCAGACCAGATGTGACAGCAATATTCGAAGCGTGGGCGAATGGTAGACTTATAGATATGTAAAATAGATTCTGGAGAGAAAACTGTCAGCACGAAACAATGAAACAACATTCTTAGCAGCTGAACTTGCAATGTTTGAAAATAAAATGAGAAATTATGAGAAAAAATATTACTCTATAAAATAAATGAATCGTAAATTTTATTTATTTTAAAGACTGAAGACAAATGGCTTAAATTTATGGTGGTGTTTTAAAAACCATATGTTCTGAAATTAATGGCGAATTTAAGCATAATCCGAAAAATCAATAGAAAATGTATGACTTCATATCAGTTTCTGTTTAAATAATAATAAAAAAAACAAAAAAAACTGGAAAACGTTTCTAAATTTAACGTTTCTCTCTTATTTTAGCTTCTGAAATTATTTGGAATTGAGAGTACGCAAAAAATATTTCAGTATTTCGAATTTTATACTGTTTGTTTTTATTGGTCCGGTAGATATCACGTGTTTACATCTTGTAGCGTTAATGTATGTTTCTGTGAATTCTGGTAGGCGTGTTTTGTGTCTTTCTCGTACACAAGCATATTAATAAGCTAGCCTAAAATAAAATCGAAACGTTTTCCTATTTGTTCCTTATTTAACTATTTTGTCGGATTTAATCCATATTTTTTTTATTATTCCTACACTCTTGTATATATCGTGTTTATAATAAATATATCAGAAATTTAAGTCAATCTGATTGTAACATATATAGTGGTCGTAAAATAAAAAGTATATACAAAAAGTAAGCAGATGTCAAAGTTTGCACAGCATATTTTGTAATAAAGCGAATATGGCATAAATAATTAACAAAGTTCCGAAAAGATCGATCGTCATGATTTGCGCAATCTATTAGGGTCGTAGAGGGAATCACTTGTACTGCAGCTGTAGCAACAATGAGTATGTCTAGAGCAAGTTAACCTGATGAAACATATCTATCTTCAATCTGATTTTGAATTCAGTTTTCCTTCTCCTAGGTTGCCATCCAGAGCTAGAAAGCTCTGCCTGCCCTCCAATTAACTCCCAGTTAGAGGGAGTAGGGGTGGCTTAATACTTTGCCAAGTTTATTTGTATAAAACCAAACGTAACTACCCCGGCCGGAATTTAAACTCGGCCCGCCAGTCCCACATTCGGTATCACGTTGAAACGCCAGTTATTGTACGATCACCGAAGTTAAGCAACGTTGAGTCTAGTCAGTACCTAGATGGGTGATTGCCAGGTACTGTAAGGTTAGATGTGCAGGTGATATAATAGATAATGGCTCGGGATTTAAGAAAGATATGAACCCATCTCTTTCCCTCCTCGCTATATGTCAAATAGCAGAGCATATAGTTGTCAATCATTTTAGAAGGACGACTCTTAATTCAAAACCATATGTGCCCCTGGGACCCAGTTCCGGGTTGCTTTTCGTCAGCTGAAGGATGTTTGATGTGGTCAATGTCCGAATCTAACAGACAAGATTTGTTGCATTGAACTGCAATAGTATCATGCAAAAGATCCTTCATACTGGACAATGACTGAGAGCTAATTATTCCAAGTCAGATGGAGACTGTGGGAAAAACATATAGTAACGCCTTTTTTTAATCATTTCACTCCAAGCAAGGCAACAAAGCCACTAATACACAGGAGGTTATCTCTTCTCTCCCCCACACACCACTAGATTAGACTTTTTAACTTTGGCTGGCAACCCATCTAGAATGACAACTCTGAATTTAAGGCAGGGGTCGGCAACTCATTCGACCCCGCGGGCCGGATCGTGTTATAATGACGGGTCGCGGGTCGGACGAAGGCCATTAATGAAAAATTAAGGAAAATTATATATGCAGACCCCTGTCAACCTAAATATTTAAAACCATAATGAAAATAAACATTGAGAAATCAGAAAACAAAAGAAAATCTAAAATTAAAAACACCTAACAAAAATTACTTTTCCTCAAGGAACGTCAAAATACTTCAAAGTGAAAAAAATCAACCGAAGTGAAATGGATGAAATTATGACGTGTAGGTTTGAAACTGTTATTGAAAATTGTTCCACAAACGAACCACGCACACACACATCAAACAAAAACGAAGCACATATACCCATACATACGAGTACAAATAGTTGCAAACATATACACTTACGTACATACACATGCGGTATCATCCACACATTCATGAGGCATGTATGTATAATGCCTGTATGTTTAACTGTCTTTAGATTTCTGCTACCTCGCATGTCAGTCCCTCCCTGGCCTCTTTCACTTTATCATTCCTTTCGCTTCTGTTATCTTTTAATGTAGCCAAGGGTCATAACAAATATGTATCCATTATTTGACATTAAACGTAGGCAACGCAACTTGGTAAGATAAGACTCATGAAAAATAACTGGCAGATAGTCTAATATTTTTAGTGCACTGAGATAACAGCAGACCTTTTGTCGAATTCGAAAGCCTCGTCTCTCATGTTAAAAATTGAGTCATTGGTAATCATGCTCACGGGCCGGATCCGGCCGCGGGTCGTAGGTTGCCGACCCTTGATTTAAGGCCTACTTACTACAGCAACGTCGAGCCTGGTCATTACTTAGATGGGTGGCCGCTTGGGAATACCAGGTGTTGTAAGCTTGGGTGTGCGGGTGGTGTAATAGATAATGGCTCAGAATTGTTAATCGGAGAACCGAGTTCCATTTGGGTTCGTTATATTCACTTACGCGCAAATACCCTTAGGAAAAGTATGGATCCACCTCTTCTC